CTTGGCCTGCTGTGTTCATCCAGCCCTGCACCTTGTTGTCTCGGATTCTCCAGCATCTGCAGTTCCTACTATCTCTGATTAGATTTGGAAGGGGATGTTTACAGGTTTCAACTTGTCTGCAAAGTCTCTTCAGCTGCGTCTGTTTAAAGTTTGAAAGATCCATGGGAGATTTAACCAGCCAGAGCAGCAAATCCAAGGACCCTTTCATTCTGAGTGGTCTCAGTTGCAAAGTGAATCCGTTATATATGGCAGTAGTCATTTGGGAGATGCATTTGTGAATAGCAAATTTTGAAAATCCTGCAGATTTCACCAGTAAATCCATGTGAGGAGCTGAAGACAAATAGATTCTGGTCTGTGATCTTGAGAATCACTGGTCATGCAGGCTCCCTGGTCTACTAGCAAGAGGTATCAGATATCAGCAATGATGTTGTTGTGGTATTGTCACTGGTTAAGGAATCCAGGAAACAGCCCGGGGATCTGGCATGGGCCCTGCTACAGCAGATTGAGAGTTTTAACTTTTTTAAAAAAATCTGGAATTAAAGTTTAATGATGACCATGAAAACCACAGCTGGTTCATATTCTCTAGTTGGGCTCTCAAATGCATCAGATGACCTAGCAAACCTTTCAAATGCATCAAGCTGCTAAAAAGTATCCTAAAAAATGAATATGGGCAGACCACTTGGCATCAACTAAGGCACCAGAAACAGCAACTGTAAATTCAGGAACAAAAACAGAAGTAAATTCAGCCCAGCTGATCCCGAAAAGTCCTCCTTACTGCTCCTTACCAACATCAGGGAGGGCTAGTGCTGAAAATTCGGAGTGCTGTCTCAGTCACGTAAAGGTATAACATAGTCATAATCACAGAATTGTACCTTACAATGATCCAGACACCAACATTACAATCCTTTCCAACCAGCAGGACAGACGCAGTGGTAGGATCACAAGAGTTCACAGTCAGTGAGAAGTTGCCCTGCGAGTGCTCAACATTGACACCGTGAAATCTCACACCATCAGGTTAAACACAAGGAAATCTCCTGCTGATTACCAGTTAGCGTCTTCTCTTGGGTGAGGAATCAATGTGGCTTCAGGTTGAACCCCACCTAGACGTAGCTCAAAGAGCAACAAGGGCACAGGATGTACACTGGGTGGGGAACTTCTATGTCCACCACCAACAGCATCTCAGCAGCAGCACTACTGATTGAGCTGGTTAAGTCCTCAAGGACATAACTGCTAGACTGGATCTGCAATAGGTGACTTCATCCTTACCAATCTGCTGGCTGCAGATGCATCCGTCCATGACACTATCGCTACGAGTAACCATGGCACAGTCTTTGTGAAGACAAAGTCCTGTCTTCACAAGAAGAATACACCCCATCATCACGTTAAATGGACAGACCTCAAACAAATCTAGCAACTCAAAACTGGGCATCCATAAGGTGCTGTGGGTCATCAATAACAACGGCATAATCAACACAATCTGCAAACTCAGGGCCCCACACATTCCCCACTCTACGATTATGATCAGGCCAGGGGATCAACACTGGCTCAATGTAAAGTGCAGGAAGTTATATCAGGAGAAGCAATAGGCATTCCTAAAAATGAGGTGTCATCCTGGGAAGCGACAAAGCAAGCCTGCATGTGTGCCACACAGCATAAGCAGCAAATAATAAACAGAGCTAAGCGATTTCACAACTAACGGATTGGATCTAAGCTCTGCAGATCTCCCACATCCAGTCATGGATGGTTGTGGACAATTAAACAACTCACTGGAGGAGGCTCCACAAATATGCCCAAGGCCAATGATGGAACAGTCCAAAACATCAGTACAAAAGATAAGGCTGAAACACTTGCAACAATCTTCAGACAAAAGTGCCGCGTGATCCACCTCAGCTGCCTCCAGCATTACAGATGCCAGTCTTGAGCCCATTCAATTCACTCCCCGGTGATATCAAAAAAAACAACTGAATGCACCAGATATTATGGACAGCCAATTCTCCGGCACACAGAAGAGTTATATAGATTTGAAGCATTAACTGTGTTTCTCCTGGCACAGATACTACCAGACTTGCTGAATTTAGTGCATGATTAGTGACTTGTCTCAGTGCCAAAACATCACAGCAACAGAATCTATAACATTCTACGCTTTATCCTTTGTCTTCAATGATAATAACCCATTGGCTTTCTTGAAAAACACACACTGCTCAAACTGTTTTTTCCCCTGAGAAGTGTGTGGTTTGTGTGTATTTTGGGAACATTTAGGAGGGATATATGTTTCAACTACTACATTACTGACCATGTATCTTAACCAATTATGGTATCTTCACTGAAGAAGTTCTGTTTTGATAATAAACTCAATAATTATGTTTATTAAGAAACTTGTTTGATAGATCTTGTTTGAAACCTGACATAGAGAAGGTATTTCATTGGTCAGCTTGATTATTTGAGGAAGTGCAGTCGTGGGATTAGAATGACAGCGTACCCCTTCAGCTTTGGTGTTAACACGTACACACACAATATACTTTGCTCAATTTTATTTATTAGGTCAGCAAACATAAAGTTTGGTCAATCTATACACATGATCAATTCCTTAATTTTAAGTCACAGAACTGGCCCAGATTTTCAGATTAGAGTCAGACTGGGTTTGATTGACCATTTCTCTCCATTTGTCACCTATTTATCTATTGACGGTTTATCTGGCTAGATTTCAGAGTCTGGCCACTCCCAAATGCATGCGTCAGTGGAAACCGGGGAGAGTTCCACTTGTCACAGGAGCAGACTGGCAAGTCAAAACTCACTCCTTTCTTATTGTGCTTATTGCTGGATTATTCAAGGCTCCAAAGTCACCATGACAGTGAATGAGGAAAGGTAAACGTTTGGGATGGGAGGGAAATGGGTAAGAGAGTGGGTAGCTAATATATGAAGGTGATAGGGGGGTGGGGGTGGGGGTGGGGGTTTGGTCATCGCCAGGTGGTTTAGGGGGTACAGTGGCAGGTAGGTGAGACGTTGAGGGGCATTTGAGTTGGAGGTGGGTCTAGGGGCAAGGTGCCAGTTGGCTGAGGCAGAGCTGGGTGCCAGCTAACTCGATGAATGCTTCGAGTAGTTTGCGTAATGACGCAGGATGGTTATCAGCCTGGCAGGATCAGGCTGGGATTGTGTGGAATGTCAGATTGAAGGGGACCCTAAGGATTGGAGAGCGTAGATGGGGGTGGCAGTGATTAGTCAGGGATTCAGTTTAATAGTTACCCAGAAGTTAGAGTCGGTTTTTAATCCTCCAAACTTTCCTGGGGAGCTATTAAGCTTAGGTGAGTTGGAACCCTCTGAATTCTGAATTCAAAGAGCATCTTTTTGGAGTGCTCCAGATACAGGGGATTTACCGATCAGAACTTTGAATTTCCAGGGCATTCCCTTTAGAGTTAGCTGCATTGGAATTTCTGCGTGGTCCTGGCACAACTAACATATTGCTGTCAAAGGAGCACTCTGGCCATTGGAAATTCTGGGCCATTACTGCACTCAGATATTCAGTCACACAAGGCATATTTGGATGATGCTACATTTGGAAAACACTGAAGTCATGGTACCATGATGGGCTACACAAAGTTACAAAGCTTCATACATTACAGAAAAGAATAGCTGTGGTGGAGTCAGCTCTAGCTGCAATAATCTGAGGACTTTGGATGAACAAATGCATTGCTATTTAAGCTGTAGGTGGAGTACTGTGTGTAGTTGCAAAGATATGAAAGTATGGGAAGATATGCAGCATAAATTCACTGAAATGATGCCAGGTTTCATTTCCAATTATTAAGATAGGATGTTCAAGGTCTTATAGGGTTAACAATAAAGATAAGTAATAACAAATTGATTGTATTGGTTGATAAATTACTAGAGCAGACAAGTTTAAATGCAAACACAAGAAAAATAGGGGGTGGAAAAAAATATTGTGTGAAATGTGACCTTCATAATCATGAAGAAAAGTCTATGAGTTATTGTGAAAGCAATTAGATATTGCTTGAAAAAAGGGAGCATTAAAGAGTAATGAAACAAGTACAAAGTGGGAAAAGTAAGCCATTTCATTTGGGGAAAATACTGCCATTGACTCAATGGTCTGGATGGCCTGTTTTTACAACTTCCTGGATTCTCCGACAAATTTAGTGACAGCAGTATTGCAAATAATAAAATGTTTCATTCTAAATTTGGGAATCCATCAGAATACTCAATTACGTTACAGCTTTCTAATCAATCCAAATCAACCATTAGTTTCAATAGTAAATAATTAACTGAAAAATATAGATGGATATATTCAGGAAGTGCTGGTAATAATATTCAAATAACTTTTTGGCATTTACATCACGAACACTGCATGTAGATCAATTTCACCATAGATGGAAACCTTCGTAACATCTTGCAAAGTTTTATAACGATGCTGGAACTCCAACAAATGTTGATTGTTCACAGCCACCTTATATTGGTTTGGTTCACCAAGAATCAGAACCTGGAGAAATTAAAAATAAATTAATTTTACAAACATAACTTCTCTTTGTTGAATACTCACAGTTGAATTCAATTTTATTTCAATTTGCTGTGTTAAAGGACCAATATACTCCATTTAGATCCTTCCAATCTTCCATTTAAAAGTACCCAGCAATGTGGATAATGGCCCAAGTAGATGCTGTCCATGAAAGGCAGAACAAATTTGATACTCTTATCAGTCTACTCTCAATGATCAGCAAAGGGAAGGGAGGTTGTAGACAATGCCAATAAACACCTGCTTAGCAATAACCTGCTCACTGCTGCACAGTTTGGGTTCCGCCAGAGCCACTCAGCTTCTGACCTCATTACGGCTTTGGTTCAAGCATGATCGAAGGGACCGAATCCTAGTGGGGAGGCAAAAATGACTATGCATGACACGAAGACAGCATTTTGGCAGAGTCTGGCATCAAGGAGACCCAGCAAAACTGGACTCAGTGGGAATCAGGGCGAGAACGTTTCAACTCCTCACTGGTGACATTCCCTCTGTCAGAAAGTCGAAAGTGGGGAAGATTGCTGATTATTGCACAAGGCCAACTCCTCTGATACTGAAACAGTCTATGTCCAAATGCAGCAAGACCTAGACAACATTCAGCTTTCACCTTCATATCAGGCAAGACTTTTTGTACCATGCAGGAGCCCACGGCCCTTTCAATGCGGCTCTTGGGTCTTTGGATGTTTCAGCTTTGAGACAGCTACAGCTATATTAGAATCTGCTCTGAGGGGCTGGCATAAATGTGTAATGACTCCAATATATAATGAAAGGGCAGAGTTGCACAACAGTCGGTCCTAGAAAATCCCTAGAATAACAGCTTCCTATGCTCAGTTTCAGATCTTTTATCTGCACTAATTTAAAAGAAAATTAAGGCGCACTTGTAACACTTCCTCAGGGATAGTGTTGCATTTCACTGGGACCCATCAGGAATAGGAATATTTCACTTACTTCAAATCGTTCTCCATATTTGAACGGAAACTTTGGTGCATCCCTTTCTTCTCCACCCCAAGCATTACCAATCCTGCAATTACGAACCATTACTTGATGAAAGCCAGCCTCCCTAAAACGAGCGCTGAAATGAAACACAATATCCTGGCCAGAGTACACATCAATGACAAATCTGTGAAAATAAAATTAGAGAAACATTAAGCGGAACTTACGGCACAGAAACCGCTGCTTCATCTAAATAGATCAACCCAGCATCTACTCTCCACCTAAGCCTCTTCTGACCACTTTTCACCTAATCTGATCAGAATAACCCTACGTCATTCTTCATTCAACTAACTGGGAAACTAGCAAAAATTTTCTGATTGATATTGAATGAAGAGAGTGTTGCAGTTTAGTGACTGTCCTGAGAAAGGTGGCACATCATGAACTTACAACACTTCCCTGACATCATGGACACCAACTCCACCAATCGTCCCAACCCTGACGGCAGAAATCTGCCTCAGCTTTTATCTCCCCACCAGCGCTCCCCATTAGGAGCAAAGCAGTAATGGCAAAAAAAACCCCTACTACTATGATAATTCATATTGTAAATTGACATTTACAAGGCACCTACATTAATTTTCACCAATATTTTTCTCTTCACATACCTGTAGAAACATTTACAGTCAGTTCTTATGTTTCCCACAAACCTATGCTCATACTCTATTTACTCGTTCTTAATCAATCCCTTGGTCCTCTTTTGCGGATTTCTAAACCGTTCCCAACTCTCGAGTTCATTGTTTTCTTTTAGCAATTTTTATACCTTGTTTTCATTTAATACAGTCTTTAACTTCTAAATGTGTTTATTTAATGAACGAATATATCTTTCACTCGAATTACATATCTGAGGGAGAACAAAATGAAGCAATCTGTCTCTTGTAAAGTCACAATGGTTTATATTTCAGCATTGTGTGTAAAATTGCGAGGTAAAAAAGTGAAAGCTGGGCAGTTATATTGAGTCCTGAAAACGCACTGGCAGAAAACAAAGCAAAGTCTCAGACATTGTGAAAATATATAAAGAAGAACAGGATAATGAAAGAAAGAGGAGGACTAATTGGAAACCAAAAATTCACCTGCATGTAGACATGAAAAACACAGGGTATGATTGTCAATGAATACATTGCTTTGGCCTTTACAAAAGAGGGGAATGATGCAGAAATTAATCAGATTGAGTGTGAAAATTGGATGGGATTAACCCAGTGAGAGGAAATATTTGAAAAGGCACGGATTAGTTAGGGACATTTAAATGGACTTATTAAGGTCACGTCTCATTTGTGTGTTTGAATATTTTTCTGGGGAGGTAATGAGAAGTGTCGACGAGGACAGTATGTTTGATTTTTTTTCACGGACTTTAGCAAAGCCTTTTGAGAAGATTTCACGTAGCAAACTAGTCAGGATATTAAAAACTTATTAGATGCATTGGCAAGTGACAAATTAGATTCAAAATCAGCTCAGTAGCAGGAAGCAAAGAAGGGTCTAGGCCCGAAACGTCAGCCTCTCTGCTCCTGTGATGCTGCTTGGCCTGCTGTGTTCATCCAGCCCTGCACCTTGTTGTCTCAAATGATAATGGTTGACAGGTGTTTCAGTGACAGGAAGGCTATTTCTAGGAGCATTCTGGGGGTTCTTGCGGCATAGTGGTAATGTCCCGATCTCGAAGCCAAGTTCCACTTGCACCAGAGTTATGTACGTAACATCTCTGAACAGGTTGATTAAAAATACCCTGATGAGCATTCTGCGGGGCTCAACACGAAGTTGATATTTTTAAACTCAACCTGTTCAGACATGTTAGGACACACACCTGGGAAGCTTGGCCCAGAGACAGGGACATGGCCACTGCACCCCAAGATCCTTCTCAGTGTCAGGTTATGTCTTTTTATGGCACATGTCAATGACTAAGACTCAATGATGCTCCATTTAAGAAAAAGATTCAAGATGTTCGCGGATGGTACGCAACTGGCTGTAAGGAAGAAAGCTGCAATCTGCAGCAGGATATCCATATGCTGGTCTGGTGGGCAAAAATGTGGCAAATGGAATTCAATTCAGAGAAGTGTGAGGTAATGCCTTTACGGAAGGGGAACAAAAGGAACAGAATAGACAGCAAAAGGCAGCACACCGCACAGGAACGGACGGACCTGGATTGCATGTCCAAACTTCTCTGCATTAGATATCGTGGCCTCAGATATTCTTCAGGGACATTTACATGAGAATTTCCTTGGACTGTTCACTTGCACATCCATTGTTGTAGGGATTCACACAAAACACATGAAAACAGGAGAAATGTACATGGCTGCATAGAAATGAATGTACAGCCTTTAAAAGCCAGTTCTGGCTGAAGATTGAAGAAGTATGTGGGGAAGTCAGCATCTGATTAAGGAACTATGATTTGCTGACTTAGCTGAATATCAGCTAACTCAACTTCTTATCTCATCACTGCCTTTCTGTAAATGTGTAACACAGGTGGTAGCTAAACCATACACTAGGACAAAATAGGGATAGACAAAGAAAAGGCTGTAATTTCTTGGAAACAGACTTCCAAACCCTCCTGGATAAAGTTAAACTCAAGCGACACAGACCATTGGGATGTCCATGCCAGGTGACCACAAAAATACTAGTCGTCCGATGTGGAGAACGTAGCACTGGCAGGAAGTGCCAACTCCACACTCCTGGGAGTGCGAACCAGTGGCACAAAAATTCAATGACATGATTAGGAAGTACAAATTATTGCACCTACCACTTTCCACATCTCTCTTCTGACTAGTACACTCTTCAGGCTCAAAGGAAGAGTTAAGTAACTAAACTTCTGTTATGCTCTCAAATAATTAACATATTAACTAAAGATCCTATGGATTATGGCTATCCGTGGACGTGCTCACTACCACCCCAGACCCCTCAAGATTTGAATGTCAATTACCTGCAATGCACAAAAGGCTACAGAAGGATTTGGACAGGTTTAGGAGAGTGGGCAAAGAAGTGGCAGATGGAGCACAACGTGGGAAAGTGAGAGGTCATGCACTTTGGTAAGAATAAAAGCATGGACTATTTTCTAAATGGGGAGAAAATTCAGAAGTCTGAGGTGCAAAGAGACTTGGGAGTTCTAGTCCAGGACTCTCTCAAGATAAACTTGCAGGTTGAGTCAGTAGTCAGGAAGGCAAGTGCAATGTTGGCATTTATTTTGAGAGGACTTGAATATAAAAGCAGGGATGTACTACTGAGGCTTTACAAGGCTCTGGTCAGGCCACATTTGGAGTACTGTATGCAGTTTTGGGCCCCATATCTCAGGAAGGAGGTACTGGCCCTGGAGCAGGTTCAGAGGAGGTTCACGAGAATGATCCCAGGAATGAAAAGCTTAACATATGAGGAACATTTGAGGACTCTGGGACTATACTCATTGGAGTTTAGAAGGATGAGGAGGGATCTAACTGAATCAGGGAAATAAGACACAAATTTCTTCCTTGTTGACTCTGATGATCATGATAAGGAAGATGAAGGAACTCCTGGGGCCTGGTACTGCCTATTTTCTAAACTCTTGAACGTCACTTTCTGTATCAGCTGCTTTATCACATCCACACACTGGCCAGACTTTTACTGGGACAAAATTAGACAGCATCAGGAAGGATATGACGCAACAAAATACAAGGAGTTAGGAGTGGCATGTACACACAGCTGCACCAAACTCCCAGCACAGGAGAAAACTGCCCACAGCTTTGTGGTCATGAGATCCTAAATATAAAAGAGCTTCTGATTGAAGGGCAATGTAGCATCATGTAGGCTTTAAGATCAGTATCCAAGGGTGTGCAGCAACATCAGTGGTCAGTCTCTCGTATATACAAAATATACATTTTTGGCATCAAAGCTTTTTGTACAAGGGATATTAATAGAGCAAATAATAAGTTCATTGCAGCTATAGAAAACCGCCATAAAAAGTGCACTGGAATTGGTTACTTCCTTATTTCACCTCCTAGAAGTTCCAATGGCAGCTCTAGTGGCAACAGGAGAATGAATGAGCAACACTACAACAAAGTGGTGTGAAGGGGTGAAGGCGGAGGAGGAGAAGGATTAATTTAGCAGCTTTCTACATGTATTAACTCACATAGGACAAAAGATCTTAGCCCTAGAGTAGGAACAGCTCAGAGAGCAGCCATTCAGCTTCTCCGTCTGTGTGGGCTCTCTGCAATTGTCACTCAGCTAACCCCACTCCCCTGCCATTTCACTCATCTCCAGAATCATTTTTTGTACATTCTTTTCTGCTGGAAACAGTCCCATCCCTCCTCAATGAGGGAAACACAATTCCAAAAACATTTTCTTTTAATATAATTCCAAAGCAAGGAAATTATTTCCTGTCTCTCTTCAACACACTGAAAAGTTCTTTTTGCTTTTAATTCCCTCATCTCTCTCATGCTTACTCCTTCAGCTTATCCAATCAGGCCCCTACCCACCTGCTGGGAATACACGAGAGGAGTTGAAAACCAAAAGCATCATTAGTGTATTTGAACTAGTTTAGTGTTCTAGTGGTACTGGGTTAGAGCATGCTGCAAAGATTACAGCTGGAGAACATTGATTATACATCCATGCATAAAGGAAAAGGTGGAAACATTTTCTCTCTCGCACACAAGTCATAGTCAAACATGGCAGTCAAACAGGAAGCAGGATAACTCCTCTCAGCAAACCTGCAGAATACAGAATCTTTAAATCAACTGTTTAACTTCCACAGTCAACGCTACCATAATCACCCAACTTAACAGCCACTACATTTCACCACTACTCTCAAGGATTAAAAAAAAGACCAATTTGTATGCCCTTTTTAACTGGTATCTTTTTTATTAATTTCTTGTTTCTAATCTTATGTGTATATTGCGGTATTTTGTATTTCCTTGCATTTTTTTTTAAACTAACAGACTCACTCTTTGATTAACTTAAGAAAGTCTACTTCTTAAAAAATAAGAATACAATGGAATTGGGAAAGATATCCATGAGGAAAGGGACCCTTTGTTTTGTAAACCTTCTTGAAACCAGCTGGCTGAATAAAGAGGATGATCTAATTCCTCGCTCCTCACCTGGCTCACTTGCAGAAGGCAGAGAATAGGAATATAAAGATTTATTTTAAGGATGGCAGCTGGTGACAAGTGGAGTTCCACAGGGGTCAGTGTTGGGACCACAACTATTCACGTCATGCGTTAACGATCTGAAAGAAGGAGCTGAGAGCACTGTCGCTGAGTTTGCAGATGATACGAAGATAGGTGGAGAGACAGGTAGTATTGAGGAAATGTTGCAGAAGTGGTGAGGTTACAAAAGGATATAAACAGGTTAAGAGAATGGACAAAGAAGTGGGAGATGGAATGCAATGTGGGAAAGTGTGAGGTCACGCACTTTGATGGGAGGTATAGAGGCGTAGACCATTGTCTAAATGGGGAAAGGCTTCAGCAATCAGACTCCCAAGTCCCTTTGTGCTTCAGAGTTCAGGATTCTCTTCAGGTTAACATGCACGTGGCAGTTAGAAAGACAAAGAAATGTTCGCATTCATTTCAAGAGGGATGGAATACAAGTGCACGTTAAGATGGTACACAAGGATGAGGGGGAGATCTCATTGAAAGCTATAGAATACTGAGAGGCTTGAATACAGTGGACTTGGAGAAGATGTTTCCACTGGTAGGAGAGACTAGGATCTGAGGGCATAGCCTCAGAGTGAAGGGATGACCCTTTACAATTGAGATGAGGAATTTCTTCAGCCATAGGGTGGTTAACCTCTGTCACCTACTGATGATAGAGGGGGCTGTGGAGGCCAAGTCATTCAGTATTTAACACAGATGGTTAGGTTCTTAATTCAGCAGGTGATCAAAGGGTATGGGGAGAAGGCAGGGAATGGGTTTGAGAAACATAACAGCCATGATCAAATGGCAGAGCAGACTTGATGGGCCGAATAGCTTAATTCTGCTTCTAGATCTTATGGTCGAAGCTGCGCCGTAGCACGATGGCTCAGATGGTCTGTGCCACCAATCAGCACGCAGATGCAATGACTTCTGGGTCTAGGAGCTGCTGTCATACATGCAGTGACCAGAAAAGTTAGAGGGATGTAGCCCATTAACCTCTATTTGCACTATTACTTCACATATTTTGTCTCAAATACTATGTGAATTAAAGTAAAGAGCTACTATTTTTGCCTTTTTACTGCGTTTTCTCCTTTAACGCTATTTGCTGTATTTTTCACATTTGTCTCACTCTGGGTATTTTTACCCAAGTAGCTGCCTTACAATGCTGCTATTTGCTTTTGCTTTGTAAGCCTATACAGCCCGTCTCCAGAACCTTACACCCTTCCTATTTAGTTTAAAATCCTCTCTGCAGCCCCCACTATTCAGTTCATCAACACACAGGTCCAAACATGGATCAAGTGAAGCCCATCCCACCAGAACAGCTCTCTTTTGCCTCATTACTGGTGTCAGTGCCACATGAACTCAAAGCCATTCCTCCCACACCAACCTCTGAACCATTTAGTTAACTCCTTGACAGTATTTACTCTTTGCCAGTGGCTTGGAAAGTATTCCAGAGATTAACACCTTGGAGGTTCTGCCTTTTAATTTAGCTCCCAACTGTTCAAATCATCTCAGCAAGATCTCCTTTCCAGTCCTATTTATGTCCTTGGTTTCCAATTTGGACAACAACAACTGGATTTCGCCCCTGTATTTACAGCACCCCCAAGGAGGCTATACAACCCAAATTTTCTCATGCTGATCGAAGATCTGATGACACTTATCCCATCTTTCAGCTTTTGGCTTAAAGCTATGGAGGCTATGGTCACATAACTGAATATCTAAATTTGCCCAAGTGTACCAAGAGTTTCTGATTCAACCATCCTTTCAGGTATTGAGTTCCAGACTACCACTCTCAGTGGAAATAATTCTCTTGAACTCTCCTCTTAGCCTTCTACCACTTACCTTAAATCTTCATCCCTCAGTTATTGAGCACTCTACAAATGGAAGAAATACATTCCTATCCACCCTATTAATGCTCCTCCTAATCTTATACATCTCTCTCAGATCCTCTCTCAAGCTTCGCTACTCCAAAGAAAACAATTCCAACCTATCCAATCTTTCCTCATAGTGTAGAAGAAAAACATGCAAAAAATGGAAAACACGAAACGTATGTGTATTGGAAGGCAGTTAAAAAATATTGACACCTGACACTATTCAACAAAAGCTTATTGAAAAGTGGAGTAGCTTCCAGAAACTGCTGTCCACTATTTGTGCTGCTGCCTCTCATACAACCTTCACGATCTGACAGCCACTGAAAGCCTATCATTCCACTGATCAGTGCAGACATAAATCCAGGGCTAAAAATTCCAGAGTCCTGCTCCATGGTCAAAATGTGACAGAGTAAAATTTACAAATTTCTCTTGTTGTAGATTCTGTTCTCTTTGCAAAGACTGGGTAATTTCAATGTTAGGCAAAACACATCGTACGTTTGCGTGTACAAAGTGGAATTTTCCTGATCAAGGCTCAGAATGTTGCGGTGTTGCCATGCCAATGAATAATGGAGGGAAGGCACAAATAAGGCCTAATGGAATGCAAGCCATTGTTCAACCTGTCATTCAATCTGCAGAGATCAGTAAGGAATTTTACTGTGAAGTTTTTCAGGTTTGAAGGCCTCTGGCAGTTAAAAGTTTTGTGCCCTTTCTTTGGGCCTCACATCAGTTCCATTTCACTCAGAAGCCACTCCTCTTGAAAATGGTAGGACAGAAAACACAGCCAGAATTCAACTTCCAAATGATTTCCTGGTCCTGCAACTGGAGTTCCATCCAGGATTTCCAAGGGCCAAAATTGAAATCAAGACTAATGGTCAAGTTCAAATATCAAGAGTGGCTAAGAGAATAAAAAATTACAAAATCACAAAATCCACACAAATGTGTTCTAACAAAAACAAGCACCTGCAGGTGGTGTAGTCCTCATATTTTTAATATCATGTGGGGAACAAACAATTGGCTAATACCCTCATACAAGCTGGAAGTGTACTATTGGTGCAATGTTAAGTAAATTTTAAAAAGGTTTCAGCCATATCAAAAAAAAACTTACTTTTCAGCATTCATTTTGACAGTTCCAACTATCTTGACCATTCTCTGTGGCTGCCAACCTCCTGGTATAGGAAGATCATAAGGCACTGGCTGGAAATATCAGGTGAAAACAAAAAACATGAAATTGGAAATAGAAAGATTCAAGAGTTGCAATTCTATCAATATTCCATTTACGCCACAGAATTTCTAGTTTTACAGTCTGCCAAATACATCCCATTAATGCGCCAGTCTGCATTCAGACACTAAATAAAAGCCAACGTATGTTGGAGTTTTTAATCAGATTGGCAAAGTAATTTCTTTAACACTGAAGGAAGGTGCATGCACATCGTTTAAGATTAGAAAATGTCCAATTGGCAGGCAATGCAAATGGTCCCAGTGTGTTTCTACCCCAAAATAAAATGACAAATCCAGCTGCAAGCACAATTCTCTCCTCCCTTTCCAATAATAAAATGACTCATCCCACCTGTATTGCTCTGTTCATCATACAGTGGCACACCTTTGTGACCATAATTCATGCCTAATTCCAGATAGCCAATTAAGTGCAAGAGAATATTTCCAACACAAGAGAGGTCCAATAAAATATCTTCATTATCTTGAAGGGTTTCTCATAACTATAGCTTCCTTTCCTAACAGCATTCTGGGTAAATCTATGTAGTACATTCTTAACGGGCTAGATTGCTTTGTACAGTTAATAGTGAGAACAACACTCATCATTTCTGAAGTACAAATTAGACTGCAGCTAAATATGATGTTAAACATGGAAATTGGGAAGTTGCTGTCAGTTTCCCTGTTTCTCCAGAAAGTGCACCATATTGTTATCTTGCTGAGGCACTTACATTGAAAGAAATGCAAGTGTGAATTTGCGGTGTGTGCTACGTATATCCAGTTAACTCACAGAAATTAGGGCATGACTATTTCAGTACAAGTGAAAAGTTGGAATTTAAAAAAATCTTAATTACTGCTAAACAACCTCTTTATTATGATATTTTGTAAGTACTCAATTGATCACAAGATGCCAAAGAAATCAATCCTTTTCTTTCCTTTAGTATTAAAAACGAACTTTTAAAAGTGTGGAGGATCATTCAGAACTTTCATCAGGCTTATTTACACAAAGAACAATGCAACTTACTACAAAAGGGAATAGCTGGAGTGGATAGCATGGATGCATTTAAGAGGAAACTAGACATGCATTTGGGGGAGAAGTGAGGGAAGAATTAGATGAGGAAAGAATGGTAAGGCAACTCGGGTGGAGAATAAATGACGACATAGATTGACTGGGAGGAATGACCTGCTTCGCAGTGTGTAACTTATATATTATTTCAGATCTTAATTACTGTTGGATTTAAAAACAGCGTTTTAATTTGTATTTGCCTTCATCCAATCTTTCTCTTCCTCTTACTTTCTATATCCGATTTGACATTGAATTCAATATTCTGTCTATTCCTGGTTTAGACTGCTAACTATTTACTTAACAAATCTACAATTTGATTGGTTAAGGAGATACTCAATTGTTTGTTCTGTTCACACAGGTTTCAGACTCTCTGGGAGAGAGTGTTGTGATGAATTGATTCTTCAGTTAAAGTAAGTTTGAGTGAAAAATATCATAGAAAGTCTGTGGGGAAGTGCAAGCATTCATTCACTACCTCATATATTGTCACATTTCAGTTCTACAACCACTTTGCCACGTCTATTTAAAATCTTCTCAAAATACACTTTTCCAACTCAGCTTACAGTGACTTTTCCTAACTCTTCTGCAACAGCTATTTATCTATTTACTTCCCTCAGCAGCTTTGTGAAGTTTCTTGTAATGTTTTCTAGTTTGTAGTAAGACCAAGAGAATCAAATGGAAATTTGATCCATATTCAAAACGTAGCTAAAAAACTGCACAAGTCTAAAACACTGGCGATTTAAAGATTCTCAATTTCATTTACAGATAGTTCACACTGAAAACAAGTTTTACCACTTCTTGAATTCATAATATGCGCTATTTATTTAATTCAAAAGATCAATACTTACCAATGCAGTGCCTCCTTGACCAGGCTGATTAGGGGCTCCAGGTGAACCAAAAGGAGCAGGCATAGGGGGAGCATATGGGCCTTCTTGTCCAGGCCAGGTTCCAGGCTGTGGGGCTGGCCATCCAGGCTGTGGGGCTGGCCATCCAGGCTGTGGGGCTGGCCATCCAGGTTGTGGATTTACACCACCAGAATGGAGTTTGTTAGCATTTGAAAAATCAGGACCCAAAGCATCTTCCAACTAAAAGATAAAGTGAGATAGTTGCCCAATAGCTCATCTCTTGGTGCATGGAACACAGAAAGACAGACCAGAAAGATCCTCTGTTTAATGCTTTTTCAGAGAAGAGATTTCATCTCATCTGGATAACATTTGGCCACATAAGTTCATTCACATTTAAGATGGAAGGTAACAAGGACAACTAACTTTCCTATTTCCCCGAGTGTGGCAAAGGGTACATATGTTGGCATTGGGCAAGGATGGGAATCAGCTTTGTCCTTGGCTATTTTTGATGACCATATAACTTGCACAGCACAACTTTTATCCATCAAACTTTAAACATAGCTTTGGGGTAAGGCAATCACATCAATGAGTCTGATCCACTTCTTAAATTGAGTTTTGTAAATCAGAACATTCTCAGTCAAATATATGTCCACCATATGAACAAATCCTCTGTCGGAGAATTGAAAAAAAACAAGATCTCCGTATGTTAGCTCATGGAGCATGAACTCAATAGATTGGTATTTACAGTACCATTCCCCACCCCTCCCCATCAAAACCCCTGAGTGCTGCCCTTTCATTCTCATGGAGCTTTGATGACTAATAAATTCTTTAAAAATGACAGTTTGCAACTTTGAAAGGAGAGCAGTGAGGGAGGAGTGCGGAGGAGTGGTGAGGGTGAATGAAATTGGACTTTTGAAAGATGAATGTAGGAGGGAAGACTCTCATCAAGGACTGAATGACCAGACAACATTGAAGCAACACAAATGAGAAAAAAGGAATAGACCCTGTATCAGTGAAAGATGAATAATGTTTGCAGAAGCAATTAATTGACGCACAAATAGTGGGGCCCGGGGGAACCTACATGCTCATAAACATCAAAATTCCATGCTCCAATGACTCTGAATGTGCTGAATTAAATAGATTTAATTACAAATAAGTTGATTTGTTTGTGCTTTTCATAGAAAAATTGACTGGATCAATAATAGGAACTTTAAAACATTGGTAAAGACCTTAAATTCTCAAGATATCAAATTGGAATTTGACAAAAAAAAGTCATAACAACCAAATACGGTCTCCTTATGACCTGAGCATCAAATAATGCGCAATCCACTTGCTAATGTGACACAGGTCTGATTTGTTACTCCTCTGTAGCTCATTCTAGTCAGTACAATCATCAGCTCCTAACCACACCCCACATCCCTGTCTATTTTGGAATGTCCAGTGCTGCTCAGTTCTTGCTAGTTTCAACCTCCCACTACCCTCTGGCGGAACAAGTTTTATTTCTGTCAAATTAACCATTTGATGAGCAGTAGGTCATCTGCTCAGCGGATCACAGCTTTCTCTAATTTTATGTCAGGTAGTGATGGGGTCGGGGGGGGGGGGGGGGGGGGCGGAGGTTGCGTGGAGACGTGGATGGGTGAAGAAAAAAATCATGCAAGATGTAGCCTGCCAATACTCACAGCTGTAATCACCATGATGGAGCACACATGGAAGGCAGAGAAAATCAGCACAAAATTGGAGGAAAAAAGACAAAGGGCATAACAGATTAAATCACTAAAATAGAAAACTTTTTGAAAGTACTTGTAAAGTATTATTTCCACAAAGTCTGCATCAATATCAATTGTTAAGGCTCTGTCTTTTGAAGTTGTACCTGGTGTTTGACTTGGCAGAAATCTACACGTATATACTTACAGATAATTCTTCCTGAAAAACAAAGATGACATGTTAAAATTACTCTGATGCACTTGTATAGTACAATCTGTCTGTAAAGGACGCAAGATAACAGTTTTCAATGTACCTTAGTACACGTGACAGTAATAAATCAAATCAAAATTAATTTTTGCAACTAAGAAATAAATTCTAAATTTTAGAATTGAACTATAACATAAATAAAATTGTGGGCAAAAAACTAGGCTAATAACTTCCAAATATGATAAACATGAAAGTTAATTTGGTCTGTCTTTACTGATAGACTCTCCTTCTCAACCTCTCCCTTAATCTGAGAGATGGTGACTCTCAGATTAAACCGGCAGGCCAATTGCACTTTTACTCTTACTGAAACCATCCCTAGTTTATCGGACCTCATGCATTAGGCTGAAATAAGGTTTGGGACTTGGAGGTTCTATCCTGCACTGCTGACAGGTTGCTCCTTTAAATTGTACTGTTTCCACATAGTGTGCACATCCAGGTCTCTGGTTTAGCCAACAGTGACATGTTGTTGGATAGAATGGGCTTCTTTCTACTGATGTTTAGGACAGCGAGAGATGATTTGATTGAAGTATATAAAATCCTGAATGGTCTTAACAAGGTGGACATGGAAGTTATGTTTCCTCCTATGGGTGAATAGAGCAATGGGAGGACATGGTTTTAAAATTAGATGTCACCATTTGTTGGACAGAGATGAGGAGAATCTTTGTTTCTCAGAAGGCCGTATGACTTTGTAACTCTCTGGTAGTGGAACTGGAGTGCTTGAATATTTTTTAAGGCAGAGATAGACTTTTTTCAGGCAAGGCATTTAAGGGTTATCGTAATAGATGGGAATGTGGAATTCGAAACAAACAGGCCAGCCATAATCCTACTGAACGGCACAGCAGGCTCAACAGGCTGAATTCTGCTCCTAATGTTTGTATTGTCTGACTTCCAGGAGTTCCAACAAACTTTTCTTTATGCAACATTATATACGGTTCTGATCTCTGTAGCACACCTCTCCAGTATAGGTTATTCCATCCTTTCTTCTCAGTGATGCGATAGCACATGAAGACGAACTTCAGTGTTAAATCATCATATCATTAACATCTGCATTTTCATTACATTACCAAAGTTATCAGAGCAACAACAGTTGCAACTGCTCATTTGGAAGGGAGTGTGGGGCAAAAGGGAATTTAACAATCAGCAATCATTTGTTATTTGGAAGCATTCTGTTTTCTTGCACATGGTCAAGGAGAGAGAAAGACAGTGGCTGAAAGAGAAAGAGAGCAATAAATGGAAAGAAAGAGAAACGAGAAGGAAGTATTAAGGACTTCAACTAAAGCTGCACCTCTGCTTGTTTACTGAGAAATGTGGGAAACACAAAGATGAAATTGTGTCCCTGTGTTCTACATTTGCCAGCCAAAGGAAACAACCTCACAGAACCCACCCTGGCAGGCCCCTTCAGAACGTTGTACACTTGAATAAGTTAGGTTAAACCTCTGCTGCAGAATTGTAGCAATTCCAGGCAGCACACTTCAGAAAGCGAATAAACGTAGAGGAGGTCTACTAGGATGCTACTGAGGATGAGGGGTTGTGAAAGTTAGGACTTCATTCCTGGAAACACAGAAGGTTAGATGCTGACATAAGTAGAAGTTTGAAGCTAGGGAGCTTTTGATACTCAAAAGCTAGGTGGGGAAATTTCTCTGCTGAGGGAATCAATAAGTACAAGTTATAGATTCAAAATCATTGGGAAAACATGTGGAGTGGAAAACAGGAGTTAATTTTCACATAGCATTGTTGACATTGGAATGCTGTCTCTGAAAAGGAACTGGAAGATGATTTTACAAATTATATTTTAAAAAGGTACTTAACAGTGAGGAACTTTCAGGGTCACAAATAAATAGCAGGATGTAGAACTAAGCACAACCTTTCTAAAGGCAGCACTGACATGATGGGTCAAACTGGAAATGCAAGGGGACAGAAGGTCAAGCATGAAGGAGGAACATGAAGAAGTCCTTACCAGTCAGGAAATAGTATTGGGGAAAATAATGGGATCAAAACTCAATAAGTGCCCATGGCTGGAGGGTAGCTAATGTAACCCCACTTTTTAAAAAGGAGGGAAAGAAAATGGGGAGTTATAGGCCGGTTACCCTGACATCAGTGGTGGGGACAATGCTAGAGTCAATTGTTAAGGATGTAATAACTTAGCAAGCAGTGACAAGATCGGTCAAAGCCAGCATGGATTCACTAAAGGGAAATCATGCCTGACAAATCTTCTGGAATTTTTTGAGGATGTGACCAGTAGACTGGACAAGGGTGAATCAGTGGATATTGTGCATCTGGACTTTTGACAAGGTCCACACAAGAGATTAGTAAGGAAAATTAAAGCTCATGGTATCGGAAGTAATGTATTGATGTGGATAGAGAACTGGTTGGCAGACAGGAAGCAGAAAGTTGGAATAAACGGGTCCTTTTCAGAAAGGTTGAATGCTGGGACCGCAGCCGTTCACAATACACATTAACACTTCGGATGAAGGAACTGAATGCAATATCTCCAAATTTGCAGATGACACCAAGCTGGGTGGCAGTATGTGCTGTGAAGAGGATGCAGAGTGACTTGGACAGACTGGTCAACTGGGCAAATATTTGGTAAATGCAATGTTAATATGGAATAAAGTGAGGTTATCCACTTTGGTCACAAAAACAGGAAGGCAGACTATTATCTGAATGGTGGCCTTTAGGAAAAGGTGAGGTGCAATGAGACCTGGGTGTCATGGTGGAACAGTTGCTGAAGGCTGGCACGCAGGTACAGCAGGCCGTGAGGAAAGCTAATTGTATGTTGGCCTTCATTGTAAGGGAATTTGAGTATAGGAGAAGGGATGTCTTGCTGCAGTTATACCGGGCCTTTGGTGAGGCCACACCTCGAGTACTGTGTGTAGTTTTGGTCTCCTAGTCTGAGGAAGGATATTCTTACTATTGAGGGAGTCCAGCGAAGGTTCACCAGACTGATTCTTAGGGTGGCAGGACAGGCATATGAAGAAAGACTGGATCGACTGGACTTACACTCACTGGAATTCGGAAGAATGAGGGGGGGAAATCTCATAAAAACATACAAAGTCCCAATGGGACTGGACAGGCTAGACGCGGGAAGAATGTTCCTGATGTTGGGAAAGTCCAGAACTAGGCCTCACAGGAGTAAGCCATTCAGGACGGAGATGAGGAAGATTTTCTTCACTCAGAGCAGTGAACCTATGGAAGTCTCTACCACAGAAAGCTGTTGGGGCCAGTTCGTTAGATATATTCAAGAGGTTCAGGACTTGGCCCTTATGGCTAAAGGGATCAAGGGGTATGGAGAGAAAGCAGGAGTGAGACACAAATCACGTGATCAGCCATGATCATATTGAATGGTGATGCAGGCACAAAGGGCCAAATGGCCTACTCCAGCATCTATTTTCAGTGTTTCTATCCTTACGAGCTGTAAGTTTCTACAATTCTGCCACGCAAGTTTGCTGCAGGAAATGAAATAAAATTAAATTTAACTAAACAGATGTCAGAAGTCAAACAGTCCTGGAGAATATGAAGTGCTAACTAATGTACAATGACAGAAGCTATTCACTAAACAAATGCCTTTAACTCTGCTGGAATGCAAACAGTCCCAGATAGCGAGAATATGCATGTGATAAGCGTCACTGTAAATGTCAACACAGTAAAACTGCACTGCACCTAGTGGTTTGTAGCTACCTTTTTCAAAATGAAAATTATTAGCAATTGTGCTAAGAAAATGCATTCTATAGAAACAGAAATGCAGCTACAATTACTTACGAAAGGCAACAAGTTTAAGATGTAGATCTCACTTCAAGTCAATGATTCAGAGAACAACCATCAGCTTCTGGCACCGAGACACTGGTAATGTTTTAAAAACTGCTAGAAACAATTACAAGACAACAAGGTGCAGAGCTGGATGAACACAGCAGGCCCAGCAGCATCAGAGGAGCAGGAAGGCTGACGTTTCGGGCCTAGACCCTTCATCTGATGAAGGGTCTAGGCC